CATTGCTGTCTAGACTACCCAAGATGCCCATTCCGCTTCAATAGCCCCCTGCAATCATTCGGCCTCGAATCGGCAACAACTGCCCAAACTGTCTTCCGACAAGGATTGCATCCTGCTGGATGGCCGGAGGTTTACTCTGCGGCTGTACATGGCCACTGTGCGTGATGCAGGGGGGGAGGGTGGGGTTGAAGGAAGTTTTGCACTTGATCGTGGGTTGCCACAAAGGAGTTGCGACTTTAGGTGCTCATAATGCGTTTTATCTAAGTGATTCTGAATATAGCCCATCTCATCATTATTATTGTCCTGATTCTATGCCTCAGACAAGGACCCCCGAGCTCGTGTCACACTTAAGTCTGGGGGTTTAGGGTTTAGGGCTTAGGGCTTAGGGTTTAGGGTTTAGGGCTTAGGGCTTAGGGTTTAATGTTAGACTCGAGATTCAGGTAGTCATCGAGCAGCTGAGTGTTTAATGTTAGACTCGAGATTCAGGTAGTCATCGAGCAGCTGAGTGGAGACCGGGGCTATTACCTGGCTTCCGAGGCTCTCGCCAGGATGTGCAGCCCTGACCTAAACCCTAAACCCTAAACCCTAAACCCTAAACCCTAGAACTCCTTGACGACAAACCCAGCACACGCGCCAGCTAAGCAAAGAGGCCCTGGCCCCATCCTGCGCCCATCTTTCATTACCCCAAGCCGTTTGGATCCAGCTTGGGCTGAGGCCCCGGAGGATCCCGAAACCCTGAACCCTCGAAAGGTTTAGGGTTTGAGGGTTCAGGACCAAAGAGTTTTAGGGTTTAGATTTTTCCGGTTTAAGGGTTTTAGGGTTAGAGCTTTAGGGTTTAGTTTTGGGGTCCATGCTTCGTAAACAGGGAGTTTTAGGGCTTTGAGGGTTTTGAGGGTTGAGGGTTGAGGGTTAGTTTGCTTGGACTCATCCTGCTTGGGGTCGCTCCAAGAGATTGCCCGGCAGCTTGTGTGGGCCCTTGGATGCAGAGAAAGTGTTCAGTCAGCTCTACTGACGGCTTAATGCCGAGCGTTTGCAGAAGGGGTTGATTCGAATTGCATGGTTTATTCAAAAGAACACTCCCAAGAAAGGTCTTTCGAAATAAAGCTAGGCCAGCATAGCACAAAGATCCCTAGCAACTGAAACCCTACTAGAAGGTTCGAGTGTATTTACATGGTGGCTTCTAGGTTTATTTAGGGCTTAGGGTTTAAAGTTTAGGGTAGGGTTAAGAGTGTAGGGTGTAGGGCCATAGGTACCCTAAATAAGGTCCGAATCGGAGTTCTCCCGCTGATAACCCTACTTTTGACTACTTCACGAGTCTTCAAGTACGTACCCTGGACCCTTGACAAGAGAACCGTGAAACCTCGCACCTATCTGTGCTGGTCGGAAGGGCCTGGTGTACCGCGCCGTTGCCGGATCCAAGGCTGCTTGGTGTTCCCTCAGCCCTAAACCCTAAATCCTAAACCCTAAACCCTAAACCCTAAACCCTAAACCCTAAAGCAGTCCTAAGAAACCCACGAACCTGATTCATCGTTGAAGCCTTTCTTCCCTGTGAGCCCGCGGGCCCTGAACCCTGAACTCGTGGGGACGCTCTTCGCCCTGCCAGTGCTGGCCACAGGGGGGGGGGTTGTTCTAACTGCAGGGTTCCTTCTTGGAGCAGAAGTACCCCCAAACCCGAAACCCGAAACCCGAAACCCGAAACCCTAAACCCTAAACCCTAAACCCTAAACCCTAAACCCTAAACCCTAAACCCTAAACCTAAGAGTAATTTGCAATAAGCCCTAAACCCTAAGCCGTAAGCCCTAAGCCCTAAGCCCTTAGCCCTAAGCCCTTAGCCCTGACTAAATTTGGAACGACGACATGGGCCCCAAACCGCTGAGGTCACCAACTGCTCCCAGGCCGCCTTGGCCGTTCTCGGAGAGGCCTCCGCCGCGGGCGCTGAGGCGCTGCGGCGGTAGGCTTCTTGGGTTTAGGGTTTAGGGTTTAGGGTTTGGGGTTTGGGGTTTGGGGTTTAGGGTTTAGGGTTTAGGGCTACTTGGAGGTTCACGGGTGCTTCTAAGCGGGGTTAGAAGTAAGGCCACTTTGGTTTTGACTGGTTATATCCTTGCTTAGGGCACTTACAACCCTACTTATGACGGCCCCTGAACCTCCAAGTAGGGTGGTTTTTGTTATCAAGAAATCCAAGTGATGGTCTGCAAGTCGTCAGTTCCAAGCGATTCCAAGCTTCCAGTTTGCGGCTTATGGGGGTGTGGGGGGGGGGGGGGGGGGGAGGGGAACCCTAAACCCTAAACCCTAAAACCCTAAACCTTAAGCCGCCCGAGCATTCAATTCAGGCATATATATATATATACACACATATATATATATACATATATATATATGTATAATTATGTTGCATATAGATTTATGTAGAACTTAGAACCCAAAGGTTAATCCTGTAGTTAAACTTGAACACGTAGGTTGTGGCCAGGGCGATGGGCTTCTTGAGGCCGTGGCTGAGATCATAGGCAGCTTCCCTGGCAGGGTTCTAAGTTACCTAAGAGGGTTTATGAAACGATTTACCCTGCTTCTTACCCTACTTGGAGGTTCATGGGTAGATTTTAAGTAGGAGGGTTACAAGTACCCTGAAACAGGATTGTAATGATCTCAGAACCCTACTTCGAACTACTTGGAGGTTCATGGGTACCTTGGGAGGCGGCCCCCTCTTTGGCCTGGCTCCGGGAGCGCCTTCGCGCGTTGCCGCAGGTCGCGCGGCCCAAAGCCTTGCAAGCCCAGAGGCTTTAGGGTTTAGGGTTTAGGGTTAGGGGTTTAGGGGTTTAGGGGTTTAGGGTTTAGGTTTGTGTTCCGGAGAGGGGAGTTTGTGGGTGAAGGACATCGCATTGGGGTTTTGATAATTCCGGTGTTGTACTTGAAAGTGTTCCAAGTGAAAGATAGATTAAGACACAAGCACACAGATAAATGCATATTGTATGCACCATGGTCTTCGCGTGTATATGTTGACATGCGTCTATTTAATTGTGTATGTCGAATATCCAAACATCTAACATCGAATAACTACTTGCAACATCTAATCTTCATCAGTAGCAGAGTTGAGGACGTTCGACAGGCGCCGTGGCAGTTCAATGCCCTTTTAGAGATCCGCATCCAACACCGCGGCCATGTACGGCCAAGTCTTTCCGCAATAGATCCGTGCAGTCCTCTTCCGAGATACTAAGAAGTGCTCTTTGCTTAAGAGCCGAGGAAGAATAGTAGTACCTATATTGCCCTTGCAAGGAAGATTATTGCATTTTTTTTTTTTTTTTTTGGGGGGGGGGTTCGTAAACAATATTAGGAAAGTGCTCATGCCGCCAGGCAGAAGGTGGGGGACCCAATGCCTTTGCCACTCGGCTGTGCTACTTGAAGGTTGTCATGGGTAGTTTTTTATTTAGTAGGGTTGTAAGTACCCTAAGTAAGGTTATTCTCACCAAATATAAGTATAGTTACCCTACTTATTAACCCTAGTCAAAGTTACCCATGAACCCTCAAGTAAGGTACTCTAAGCTAAACCCGGAAAGATCTACAAGACCTAAGCTTGCCACACGAGGGGGTGAAAGTCAAGAGCCCTCAAGAGCTAAAGCCTTGCAGTGTAAACCCTGTAGTGTGATGATTGTGAACTGAACCGATCTTAGGTGAGGGAATGAGCGTAATGGCTCACAGTCGTTTCGGCGGCCGCCAACCCCAATGTTTTCTGAAGACTGGTCCTGCTCTAGAAGGTTGTTGGGTGTGTGCATGGTTTCAGTTATTTTGCGGCACGCGGGCCTCTAATTTGGCGCCCTTATGTACCCTCATATACCCTTACATACGGGTGGAGTTTTTTGTTTTTTTTTTTTTTTTTGTCGATTTTCTTGGGTTTAGGAAAACCCTACTTTCCGTAAATTTTGAACGGATTTTCTGTCATTTCCCTTAGGTTTTCGTTGGTTTTTCATAGGGAAAAACCTTATTTTCTTTACATTTTGGACGGATTTCCTGTCATGTCCCTTAGGTTTTCCTTGGTTTGGTTTTTTTCCTTACATTTTGGACAGATATCCTGTCATTTCCTTCGTTTCTTGGGCTTTGAAGCACGCTTGGTACGGCTGAAAAGAAGCGGGGGGGGTTGGGGGGGGGGGGGGGGCAAAGGTCAAGAGAAGGACAGCTGGCTAGGGTTTAGGGTTTTTAGGGTTTCGGGTTTAGGGTTTTTAGGGTTTAGGGTTTTTAGGGTTTTTAGGGTTTTTAGGGTTTTTGGGGTTTTTAGGGTTTTTAGGGTTTTTAGGGTTTTTAGGGTTTTTAGGGTTTTTAGGGTTTTTAGGGTTTTTAGGGTTTTTAGGGTTTTTAGGGTTTAGAGTTTATCGGTGTTCCGGGTCCTTGCGTGGCCATTGCGCTTGCTTGTCTACTTGAAGGTTCATGGGAATGAGGTTATAACCAGTTATAATCATTGTTACCCTACTGATAACCCCACTTATAACTACCCATGAACCTCCAAGTAGTCTTGCTGTCTCTTGTCAACTTAATGGGTTTGTGGTTCCGCTCGAGGAAGAGCAGAGATTTGTCCAGTCAAACCCTAAACCCTAAACCCTAAGCCGTAAACCCTAGACCCTAAACCCTAAACCCTAAACCTTCAGAATTCCAGGCCTTGCCAGGCTTCCTATTTTGGGAGTTCCCTTGGACGAAGTCGCGCGGCCCGTATTCTTGTTAGGGAAGTTGCCCGCACCCGCCGTGTTCAGGGTGTTACGTAGACGAAACTATTAGAAGAAAAGCCCCGAACCCAAGCAATCCTCATTTTCAGAAACATTCTACTCTGTCTTCTTGGATGGGCTTGGGGCAGCCCCTAAACCCTGAACCCTCAACCCTAAACCCTAAACCCTGAACCCTGAACCCTCAACCCTAAACCCTAAACCCTCAACCCTCAACCCTCAACCCTCAACCCTCAACCCTCAACCCTCAGCCCTCAGCCCTCAGCCCTCAACCCTATCCCCTCCGGCCTCGCCATGGCAGCGCCAGAGAGTTGCGTGGTGGACGTGGCCTTGCCTGGCAACGTCCTCCCCGAGGCCGCACCTGAGGAAGCTGGCGCCGTGGTGGTTGAAAATGACCTGCCGGCAGCTATCGAGGTGCAGTTGGGCCAAGAGGTGAGGGTCCTCTATCCCGGAAGAAATGGCCGATTCCAGACCGGTCAATCGGACAAAGTGTCGGTTTCGCTGAGGGATGAACCCCACATCTCTGGCAGCTGCCAGGTTTCGGAGGGCGCTGCGACACTCGTCGCGTCGGAATCCTTCGGGTCCTTCGGCCCGCAGGCACGCGAGCTGGGGCAGAAAGAGCAGCAGGAGGTGGAGCGGGAGAAGTCGCTACTGGAAGATCGGAAGAAGAGGGTGGAAAGGGTACGACGAGAAATCTCCAGTTTCACCATGCGATGTTTCTATGGCAACCTCTCGTGCACGGCGCTGCTCTTCTGTGCGCTGGTGGCGTACATCTTCGTGGATCCCAACAGCGTGGGGAATCCAGGGCTTCTCTTCATAACGCTGGTGCTGTTGCTGATGGGCCTGAGTACCAGCAGCTTCTGTGTCATGATGCACGGGGCCACCATTCCAAGGCCAATGGCGAAAAAGTTGACGTTCCACGGGGGCCAGGCTTGCTGCTTCCTGGGCGGGCTTGCTGCGACAATAGCCACCTAGTAGTAGAGTAGGTAACCTTTAACCTTTTTGGGGTAGTAGAATCCCCTTATCATCCCAAAGGTTACCCTTCAATTCCCCCAGGTTACTGGACAACTAAGGCCATTACTATGTATGTGATAGCTGGATTCTGGTGGGCGGCGCTGGCGGCTGGCTTGCCCACCTGTATCCTCCTCGTTCTCATGTGCCTTTTTCGGCGCGAGGCTCGCTTTAAGGACCATGTTGGTGAGGCCGAGGCCCGGGAGAAGGCGATAGTTGACGGCAAGACCATCGTGTTTGTGGGCCAGGTTCTTCCAGGTAGAGGTAGGACGTGTGTCTGCTCATGGCCGGGGAAGTATCAGTCTGCCTGGGATGCCTTGGTCACCGGGAGCCGCAGTGGCGACATCAGCGCCGCCGTGGTCTTCTTGCCCTATGGGTCGAAGGACTTCGGGGTCCACGACCGCGTCCCGGCGGAGGAGCATCTGCAGGGCTGCTGCTACATCCCCCTTGGGAGTTGTTTTGTTACTTTTGCTTATGTAAAACCCAAGAGGATATTAAACATATTGTTTTTATGAGGGTTCTGTGGGGAGTGTAGGCTGCTGGTGCATGCCCATCTACGGGGAAAGGAAGCCCTGGGGATGCCGTTGGTGGACAAACTGGATCCGCAACATTGAGGAGGCCCACAACCGAGGCGCGGAGATGGAGGTGTACTTCTTCAAAGGTATGAGGGGCAAGGGGAAAGTTCGGGACTTCTCCACGGCCGGAGAGGAGCACAAGAGGCGCGAAGCGATTCAGAGCAAGGGGCAAGATTTCCTGAAGTCGGAGGCATATTCCAAGGCCCAAGACCAAGGCGTGGAAGACCTGTCGAAGGAGCTGCGAGGGGACTCTTCCTCGCAGTTCTCACGCGAGGTGCAGCGCCTCTTCTGGGCATGGCTTCCTGAGGAGGACATGGGTCGTTCTTGAAAACCATCGAACATTTTTCTGAAGACTTAAAACCCAAGAAGGAACAAAGATGGTTGTCTGTAAGTACTGCCCCAACTTGGGATGTGTCCCTCGGATACGAACAGTCCTGCATAGGGATTACAGCACCCCCTAGCATAATCCCTATTAAGGAGCGCTACTAGCTGCTTAAGAAGCCCAAAAGAATATTAAACAAACAATAACCCCTCTGTAATTCTAATAAGGAATATTTTTTTGGGTGTTTCTTAAGCAATTAGTAGGTTAGTATAAGGGGAAAGCCGCCCCGAGCCCCAAACCCAATGGTGCAGAGGAGAGGAGCTTCCTGGAGGCATCCGAGGGCCTGGGAAACTCGCAAAAGGCCGAGGTGGCGTGGCTCGAAAGGAAGGGCTATCGTTACACCGAGGTAGAAGTAGATATCTCCAAGTGGCTGCAGGTCATGTGAGGCAAGGGTCCCAGTAGTGGTTCCTAGTGTTTGCGAAAGCTTGCCATGTCATGTTAAATTAGGTGTGAGTAAGTGCTGAAGCAAACATCAAGAACGGATTCATGACACTGAGTCTGCATGCTTATGTACATATGGTTTCCTGCAAGTCAGGGACTGCGCAATGATCTGGTAGCGGCACTTGGCCAGGGCGAATTGCTTTTGGCTGGGTGCCGGCAATCTGGTAACTTCCAAAGTGAGTTTCCAAGCCATGAGCTGGCTAACAAAGTCAGCTCGAGCAACGTGCGGATGACCTGTGCAAAATCAGAAGCATTGTCCTGCGGCCTCGAAATGGTTTTGCTGCATCTTTGGTCCTGTTCGGTGTCGGTTTGACCCTCGCAGTTTTTTTGTTCTTTCATGACATGCGACAATTGTGGCAGAGCCTTCTTTCGTGTCAACCTGTTTCGACAGAGGGTTTCGGGCTGATTCTGATCATAGGGTGTTGGGGCTAAGGCCGAGAGCGTGTGCCACTGGATGTGACGTACCTCCAAGTAGCCCTACTTGGAGGTTCATGGTACTTCTTAACCAATTCACCAATTGTAACTGTACCTATAGCTGTACTTATCACCATATTAGGGCACTTAAGGGGCTTACAAGTGGGTTAATCATTACAGTTATAATTGGTCAATAAGTACCATGAACCTGCAAGTACACTCTTAAACCCTAACCCTAAACCCTAAAACCTAAACCGCACCCTCATCCATGGCGGTCCCAGGCACTGCTCCACCATCGCTGCCGGCGCCTGGCGGCGCACCTGCGGCGGGCCCTGGATGCAGCGGCGGGAGGGGGGGAGGGGTTTACAGAGAGAGGGTTTAGGGTTTAGGGTTTAGGGTTTAGGGTTTGTAGGGTGTTTGGGTGTCCGGGTTTGTGGTTAGGGTGTAGAGTCTGGGTTCAACAAGGGTTAGGGTGTTTAGGGTGATTTTAGAGTAGTTATGCCTATCAGGGTGTTTAGGGTTGTTTAGGGCAATTTAGGGTAATTTAGGTTGCTTAGGCTGTTCAATGCAGAAGTCCGGAAGGCAAAGGGTATTTGGGGTATTTGGGGGTATTTGGTGTATTCAAAATTGTGGGCATTTTGGGGTTCCTGGGCTGAAACAGGTCCTTAGGGTTGAGGGTTTAGGGTTTTGGGGGGAGGGGGTTTAGGCGTGTTTTGGGGTTTTGGCCTTTGCAGGTTGCTCGCAGGCCTATTGCAAAGCTAAGGTTTCGGGTTTCGGGTTCAGTACCCCTTTTTCTGCTACTATGTCTAGGTTCAGGGATGTTTAGGAAGGCCCCAACAAAGCAGGAACAGGGCACCCGCGCTAGTCCTACGTCGGTGCCACGTGTCATAGGGATTGCGGTCGCTCGCTTTGGCCGGCTTGCATCAGTTAGTAGGCTCTATCGGGCTCAGGGCGCAAGGGGGTTCTCTTAACCCGAAACCCGAAACCCTAAACCCTAAACCCACAAGAAAGGGTTTACGGAGGCCTCGAGCAGCATCGGCGAGGCCGCAACCGGGGGAGGGTGAGCTCATCGATGCCTAAGTCCCTACTCGTAAGTCCATGGGTTTTGGGTTTGGGATTTCGGGTTTAGGCTTCAGGGTAGAGGGTTTAGGGTAGAGGGTTTAGGGTTTTGGGTTTTGGGTTTGGGGTTTAGGGTTTAGGGTTCAGGGTTCAGGGTCGAGGGTTTAGGGTTCAGGCCTCGCCGTGTTGTTCCCTGGTCGTTTCCTCGGTTTCGCATGTTTTTTGTTCTTGATTTTTGATCTGGTTCTCGGCCTTCCGTTTCCTGTGGGCGGGGAAGGGTAGTAGATAGAGAGAGAGAGGAGAGAAAAGGAAGGAAGGAGTGAACCCTTCCTTGTACCAGTCTTGTACCCACAGGCACCCAAAGCCCGAATCACCCTCATCCCAAAATCTTCGCCCCTTTTTCCTCAACTCATGTACTTGGAATCTTTCTGAAATGCTGAGCATTCGAGGCATTCGAAAAGTTCATATCCCTCGATTAAACCCGAGGGGTTTGGGGTTTTTTAGGGTTAGGATCTAGAGTTCGGAATATTTTGGAGATTGCCTTTTGGACCCGACCTTCCAAGGGACAGTGCAGTCGCGCTCAGTTTCTCAGATGCAGAGACTCGCGGAGCCAACTCCGCCCTAAGCCCTAAACCCTAAACCCTTGTTCAGACTCAAAGGCAGCGCCGAGTAAACCCGAAACCCGACACCCTAAACCCTAAACCCTGAAGCAAAAAGCCTAAGCCCAAGACGTCCGCTGCAGACGGAGAGGTGCCCTCTGCAAACGCCTGGGCCCCGCCCCCTGGCTCGAGCTGTGCTTTCGGAGTGCTTTGGGAGTCAGGGGCTCTGCGTAGGGTTTAGGGTTTAGGGTTTAGGGTTTAGGGTTTAGGGTTTAGGGTTTAGGGTTTAGAGTTTCCCAAAAAGTGCGCAGGGCTCGGTGTCGTGGGTTTAGAAGCATAGGTTTCGGCGTCAGGGACTTAGGGCTTAGGGCAGTTCAGGGCTTGGAGAGGGCTGAATTAGGGTTTAGGGTTTAGGGTTTAGGGTTTAGGGTTTAGGGTTTAGGGACGCATGATTTCGTCCCGGTCTCCTCGCGCTTATCTGGCCCCAAAGGTGGCTCTACTTTCACCCCGGGCCCCGGGTGTCCCTTGTAAGTGTCCTTCCCGAGTCCCTTAAGGTTTAGGGGTTGGGGGCAAAGGGAGAGACTGCACAGACCCCTAAACCCTAAACCCTAAACCCCAAACCCTAAACCCTAAACCCTAAACCCCAAACCCCAAACCCTAAACCCTAAACCCGTAAAACCCTAAAGCCTTTTAAGCCCCTTTAAGCCCCTTTAAGCCCCTTTAAAGCCCCTTTAAAACCCTTTAAACCCTTTAAAACCCTTTAAACCCCTTTAAAACCCTTTAAGCCCCTTTAAGCCCCTTTAAACCCTTTAAAGCCCTTAAAACCCTTTCATCCCGCGAAGCCCTCAGCACAAGCAGAAGGCCTTGAAACAAAGAAAGCCAACCCCAGGCTTGCTCGGCTCGAAGAGTAGGCTTAGGGTTTAGGGTTTAGGGTTTAGGGTTTAGGGTTTAGGGTTTAGGGTTTAGGGTTTAGGGTCTAGTGCTTAGAGTTTAGGTTCTAGGGCTTGGGGTTTCGGGCCTGGGTTAGGAAAAGAAAGGGTTCAGAGAGTCAGGGTCATTTGAGCCCATTTGGTCGCAGGGTTGAAAACCTGGAGTTTTGGAAGTCAGAGGTGGAGATGCTGTGCTGCTTGGAGGTTCATGTTTCATCATAAGTGGTGTTTATCCGTAGGGTAGCTATAGTGATAGGTCATAAGCCAACTTCGGGCTCTTAGAACACTACCTAGGTAGCCACCCACGAACCTCCAAGTCGCCTTAAACCCTAGACCCTAAACCCCAAACTTTACACACGAAACCCTACAGTTCGGGTTTAGGGTTTAGGGTTTAGGGTTTAGGGTTTAGGGTTTAGGGTTTAGGGTTTAGGGTTTAGGGTTTAGGGTTTAGGGTTTAGGGTTTAGGGTTTAGGTTTTTGCCAAGTCCTCACCCTCGACCCCTGCACCCCGCCCCACCCGACCTCCAGACTGCAAGCCTCCAAAGGAGTTGAGGGCTGAGGGTTGAGGGCTTAGGGAGGTAGGCTTTGGGGTTGAGGGTTTAGGGGATGTTTAGGGTATAGGGATGTTAGGGTTTAGGGTTTAGGGTTTAGGGATGTTCAGGGTTATTTAGGGTTTAGGAAGTCCGATCCCTCTCACGTGGAGGCTGCGGGTGCCGAAGATCCTGGGCCTCGATGTCATCGTCACCAAGACGGCACCGGGAGGCAACACACACAAAAACCCCCTGTACCCGTAGTTTAGGGTTTAGGGTTTAGGGTTTAGGGTTTAGTGTTTAGGGCTGAGGGTTTAGGAAACCCTAAACCCTAAACATTAACTCATTAACAGGCTTAGGATGCTGCCACCCCAAACCTTGCACCCCACAGCCTCAATCGGAGGCATGGGCTCAAGCAGAGTCAGATTGTTGCCGGACTCAGTTGTGCTTTCAAGCTCCGTACAGTGCTTCAAGGTGAACCCTTTTCTGCTGCGACATAGAAACCGGCCCCAAAACAGCAGACCTTATTCGGACAGGCTGGCAACCATAGCCCAAACGTGCAGTGATGTTGTATGGTTGCTGCCCACATCAAATAGTGACCAGTATCAGCCGGGGATCTTTTGCCATGGGTGCCAAGAAGAAAGAAAAGGCGGCGCCCGTGCCGGTTGCCTCCAAGAGTGCATTTTGCTTCCCTGACCCAGACAGGACAGTCCAGCTTTCCGTGCCGGCGGTGGCGCCACCAGTCGACTTCGAGGAGGACTACATCCCCAGAATTTTTACTTTTGTTAATACAAAACCCAAGAGGATATTAGAAATATTTATTTTAATTAAGGTTCTAAGGGGAGTATAGAGGAGGGAGCGGCCACGGATGACGCCAACCTGACCTCCCTGGCGAATGGCCTGCCACGAAAAGTCCAGCTACAGCACCTCCCGCTCTTGACCCACCCTGTCAGAATCAGTGCCATCGACAACTTCTTGACTGAGGAAGAGTGCCTGGGTTGGATCGCCTGGGGAGAGGGGAAGGGTTTTGAGGAGGCCAAGCAGAAGGCCAACTCGGTGTACGCCCACCGGGACAACGGCCGGATCGAGTTCAGCAGTCCTGACATTGCTTATCTACTCTGGCTGCGGATCAAGAACTTCGTCCCCGACTACGTGGGGAAACCTCCCCGGGCCGCCCTCGGCTGCTCGCCGCGCATCCGCGTCTACCGCTACGTCAAGGGCCAGCGCTTCGGCCAGCATGTGGACGGAAGCCGCGACGAACCGGAGATGGGTGGGCGCACACACTTTACCGTGCTCGTGTACCTGAATGGCGGCCACCGTGAGTCCAAGGACCTGCAGGTGCGCGGGGGCGAGACGGTCTTCTGGAAGGATCACGATGGCAAGCGCCCTGCGCTTGCTTTTCCACCCACTCGAGGTGTTTGCCTCTTTCATGGCCACGGCGATGAGTGCATGACCCACGAGGGTGCAGGCGTGGAGGAGGGTGTGAAATACGTTCTTCGCACTGACGTCGTGTACGAGCTGGAAAAGTAACTAGTAACTAGTATCCAAAGAGCCCAATACCCCTTAATTAAGGAAGATTCCTTAAATCAGAATCAGGATCCCTTTAACATACAGCGTAGATTCCTTAGTTAAGGGGTATTGTGCTCTTAGGGTAGATACCTGCGCTGAGCTTTTTCCTCGGAGGGGTGAGGCTGCCGTTTTCCTTCGAGGGATTCCACACGATGCAGCTGTACAGAGCGCCAGCCGAGTAAAGACTTCTCTTCTTGCAGGTTTAGGGTTTAGGGTTTCGGCTCAGGGGCAGATGGTAAGTGGGTTGCAAGTACCCTAAATAAAGTTGCAACCAGGTATACTTATAGTAAATATCCGAATTACTCAGCACCCCCAAGCGCTCAACCCCTTGACCCCACTAAAAACAGCCCATGAACCTCCAAGTACCTAGGTAAATATCTTACGTTTTCCTTTTTTGGGGTTTAAGAGGATCCGATTTAGGAATATCTTTCAGAGGATTTTTTCAGCACCATCCCAGGTAATCGTAGAACCCTAAACCCTAAGCCCTAAACCCCAGGAACCTCTCGAGCATGGTCCCGGGGACGGTTTTTTTACTCCCGAGTCTGCGGGTATTCGGTTTGGGCTGAGATAAGTTAGGGTTTAGGTTTTAGGATTTAGGGTTTGTGGGGTTCAGGGCTTAGGGCCTAGGGCCTAGGGCTTAGGGTTTAGGATTTTCGCTCTCAGAAATCGGGTGGAGGGTTAAAAGGTACGGGCAATAGCACGCTGAGGCTGAACACGCCAGAGCATGCCTTGAGCTTCGAGCGCAATGACTTACACCCCCCAAGTCCTTAAACCATAAGTCCCTATACCCAAAGAGCCCAATACCCCTTAATCAAGGAATGAACCTGAAATTCTAAAGGGATCCTTATTATGATTTATGGAAGAGTCCTTAATTAAGGGGTATGGGGCTCTTAGGGGTATAGCCTGAGTCCCTAAACCCCAAAGCCTAAGCCCTAAACCTAAACCCTAGACCCTAAACCCTAAACCCTAAACCCTAAACCCTAAACCCTAAACCCCAAACCCCAAACCCCAGACCCTAAACCCTAAACCCTAAACCCTAAACCCTAAACCCTAAACCCTAAACCCTAAACCCTAAACCCTAAACCCTAAACCCTAAACCCTAAACCCTAAACCCTAAACCCTAAACCCTAAACCCTAAACCCTAACTCAACGCTAGCCTGAATTCCGACTCTCTGGATTCAGACCTTGCGAACCCCGTTTAAGGGGCAAAGGGAGGGACCCCTAGAAGGGTTTAGGGTTTAGGGTTTAGGGTTTAGGGGGACCCTTTAGCCTTATTCTCCTATGTAACCCCTACATAGTCCCTATATACCTCAGTAGCTCCCCAAGTAAGCCCTAAAATACCCCCAAACCCCAAACCCCAAACCCCAAACCCCAAACCCCAAACCCCAAACCCTAAACCCTAAACCCTAAACCCTAAACCCTTTTGTCCCTCATGAGGGCCCCTCCTTATAAGTCCCTTGACCCAAAACCCCTTTGGACCTCGGCTACCGCAGAGGCGGCGCAGGGCCTTGGCCATTCCTCCTTGAGGCCGCCCTCGGGGTGGAGGGGGCAGTAGGGTTTAGGGTTTAGGGTTTAGGGTTTAGGGCTGCAAAGGGCTTGGGGTTCAGAATCAAGGGACCGCAGGAGGGACCGGTGACCCGTGCAAGGGACCTTAGGGGATATTTAGCTACATAGGGACTACATTAGGCATATTATAGGGGGTATACATAGGTTACATAGGGGAATGAAATTGAGGATCCCTTCTAGGGGTCCCTCCTGATAATATACCCCTTAATTCAATAAAGGTCAAAAGAGGTTCGGGTTTAGGGCTCAGCTTTTTTTTTTTTTTTTCGGGTTTGGGGTGTCGGACGATCGACTTGCCGGTTCGGAGCCCTAAACCCTAAACCCTAAACCCTAAACCCTAAACCCTAAACCCTAAACCCTAAACCCTAAACCCTAAACCCTAAACCCTAAAGGGAATTCGAAGACTTGGTGCCATAGTAGATAGCCCCTCAAAGCGTATCGGTATACATCGAGGAATCCAAGCCTGGGCTTGAGGGAGCTTGGGGTTCCGGGTTGATAGGGTTTATGGGGGGTTTAGGGTTTAAGGTTTAGGGCTACTGGAAGGTTCTTGGGTAATGATAAGCAGGGCTATAAGCACCCGAACAAAGGATTTCACCAGTTATGACTATAGTTATCTAAACCCTAAACCCTAAACCCTAAACCCTAAACCCTATACCCTAAACCCTAAACCCCAAACCCTAAACCCTAAACCCTAAACCCTAAACCCTAAACCCTAAACCCTAAACCCTAGTTTTTATTCGCTCTTTGGAGATGGTGCTGCAGAACCCTAGTTTTTGTTGCTCTCAGGATGCCTCGGGTTTCATAAGGCTTGGGCCACACATCTGTTCAAGCGAGTTTGGGCCTTGTCCTTCAGCCCGAAGGCATGGAAAAGACGTCCCCAAAAAGGGTGTAGGGTTTAGACAGGGGTTTAGGGTTTTCCAAAGCAGGGGTTTAGGGTTTAGGGTTTTAGGGTGTTAGGGTGTTAGGGTGTTAGGGTGTTAGGGTGTAGGGTTTAGGGTTTTAGGGTTTAGACAGGGGTTTAGGGTTTTAGGGCTTTAGGGCTGTAGGGCTTTAGGGTTTTAGGGTTTTAGGGCTTTAGGGTTTTGGGGCTTTAGGGTTTTAGGGTTTTCGGGTTTTAGGGTTTTAGGGTCTTAGGGCTTTAGGGATTTTGGGTTTTAGGGTTTTAGGGTTTTTGGGTTTTAGGGTTTTAGGGTCGGAGAAGGTCCGACAGGGCTAGAGGGTTCTAGGGCTTGGGGCTGAGAGGGTTTAAGGTTTGAGGGTCCTTAAGCCAGGGTCTTCCGGGGCCGTCAGTTGTGAACCCAGCTTGACCCTATTGTCATGGGTTCCCCTACTACCCCCTCTCTACCCCCCCTAGTCCCCCCCTTAAAGAACCTTAATTAGGCTCAAGTATCCCGAACAAACCTTAATTAGGAGGGAACCTAGGGGGGGGTAGTATAGAGGGGGGTAGTAGGGGAAGCCATGATATTGCCAAGACCCTAAACCCTGAACCCTGAACAAACCCGACACAGAAATCTTCACAGAAATCCCCAAAGAGCCCAATACCCCTTAATTAAGGAATATTCCTTTAAAAAGAATAAGAAAAAGAAGAAAAAGAAGAAGAAGAAGGTGAATCGCTTCCCGGCTCTCGGCCTGCGCGCACCCAGCGACGCAGCGACGAAGCTCGCGGTCCGCTGCCGGGGGGGGGGCACCCAAAAACCCTAAAACCCTAAACCTATATCCCCCTTGGGAGTTTTTTTTGTTTATTTAAAACCCAAGAGATATTAAACATATTATTTTCAATAAGGTTCTAAGGGGAGTATAGAAACCCTAAAACCCTAAAACCCTAAAACCCCAAAGACCTAAAACCCTAAAACCCTAAACCCTAGAGACGAGCGCGCTGGTTTTTGGGCTCTGTTTTTTTTCGTACTGTAGGTGTTTTTGTTGTTTACTGAATAGGGTGGTTATTGCGGTGTTCGTAGGGTGTTTGTAGTTCTTTTGTTGATAGGGTGTTTATGGTTTTTTACCGGGCGTTTGCAAGGATTTTATAGGGTGTTTGATAGGGTTTGTATAGGGTGTTTATGGGGTTTTATAGGGTGTTCATGGGGTTTGATAGGGTGTTTGTAAGTTTTTTTAGAGTGTGTTTGAATTCGTAGGGTTTTTTGCAGGGTGTTTGTAGGGTTTCACAGGGTGTTCACAGGGTTTTGATAGGTTTCTATGTGTTTTGATAGGGCCCTTATAGGGTTTCGAAAGGATTTATGGGGTTTGTAGGGTTTATACAAGTAGGGCGTACACGCATTTTTGGGTATACAGGGTCTATTCGAGCTTCTAGTTTGGGGGGCTTATGCGGCTGATAGGGCTTTATAAGGTTCGTAGTGCTGACCGAGCTTGTATAGGGCGTTTATAGGGTTTAGCCAGGCTTGTTAATAGGGTTTCGTATAGGACTTAAAGGGTTTATAGCTGTTAGGGTTTACAGGGCTTGTAGGGTTTAAGAAATCCCTGGAGTTCAGAATTTGAAACAAGGGTTCCCATCTGAAACCTGCTCCTTGCACTCTACACCCAGAGAGCCCTAAGAGCCATCAGGGTTTCGGTTTTTCGTTTAGGGTTTAGGGTTTGTGGTTTTTGTGTTAGGGTGTCAAGCGAACGAAGCAACAAGTCCAGCTGTAAAAATGGGGACTCCTTTTTTGAAGGAGTAGGCCTTATACTATCAGTCCCTGATAGGGAATATAGTACCCCCTGGCAAAATCCCTTTAAAGGAGCTGTTAACCCTAAACCCTAAATCCTGGCAAAAAAAATCCTAAACCCTGAGGCCTGGCAGCCCAAAGTATGGTTGCAGAGGTCAGTTCATGTCCCATGGAGTGGGCTAGGCGAATGAAGGAGGTTCTGCGGTCACACTGCGCCTCCTGGGATCCTAGCCTACTTTTCGGGCCCTTGCGTAGCAAGACCCTAGGGGATGGCGCGGCAGAGAGAGAGAGAGAGAGAGCGAGAAACCCTCAACCCCAAGCCTAAACCCTCGTATAAAGGGGGACATCCCGAGGCTGAGGTCTTGGTCCAGGATCCACTTTTATCGACTCACACCTTCTAAACCCCTTAACCCTTAACCATAAGCCCTACACCCTAAACCCTAAGCCCTAAACCCCAAGCCCAAACCGTTTGTGTCGTCTGGGACGGAGGTCGTCCGCGACGCCTGGCAGCTTGCTGGCATGCCATCACCACTCCCGCCGACTTGCGGATGTCTAGAAGTGCTTGGAGAAAACGCTTTCCAAGGTTTAGGGTTTTGGGTTTAGGTTCAAGGCTTATGGTCCCAACATTCCGAGTCTTGTTACCATGCTGCCCCAGCACTCTTGCTCATGACCCCCAACAAAGGCCATCTTCGTCGGTAATTGGTTTGGGCAACAGTGGGCGAAAAACAGAATATATCC